AAGACATAAGTAGACAATGGAACGGTCACCATGGGAGAGTTTGTAAAGGAAAATATTTAACTCTGAGAAGCATTGAACTCTGCTTGTAGATATTAGACTTTGAAGTAGCACATGAGGTAGTTTCATTGTGTTAAGTTAGTCAACGAGAAAAGGAACATTGTGAGCAAAAAATAGGGCAGTGAGTAGGATATGAGTCTAACCAAATTTTCTGAACACTTTAATCAAGAATAGTATGCAACGTATAAAACAGAGTACAGGGGGAAAGAACCAGGAAGAGGACAGAAAGTGATAGGAAAAAGTGCAGACCTTCCAATGGTCTTTTATCAGGTTTTAGTGGAAACAATAAGGGTGACTTTGGAGTTAATCATAAGGCATGGTTTTTATGTAGTGGTCTGCAAAACTTTTATGGTATAAATAATGCTGTTTGGGAGAACTCAGCAGAGATTGCTTCCACCAGAACATCTCTCATGTCTGTCTCGTCTGTGTTCGCCGACTCCACACCTCCTTCAGGTATCCAGTTCAACCCTCCCTCCCGGAGCTGGACTCCGACAAGTGGCGCCCCGAACAGGGACCTGAAGGTCATCTTTCCTCGTTTTCTGTGTGGATAGGACTTCACCCAGGGTACTGCAGACCCCCTGGCGCAAGGCAACCAGGTAAGTAGGGGTGAAAAGATAAAGAACTTGAGAAGTATGGGCCACAGTGAGTCTAAGGAGAGAGGACTGTTGTTTGTAGAAATTCTAAAGCAAATTCTTAACGGAAAAGGGGTCCATGTGTCAACTCATGAGATAACAGGATTTTTAAACTTTGTACAGCGATGCAGTCCATGGTTTCCTGAAGAAGGTACCGTCAGTTTAGATACATGGGCTCAAGTAGGGGAAGAATTAATAGAATACTCTAATGAACATGGGCCTGAAGAAATCCCTGTAGAAACATGCTCCTTATGGAGCTTAGTGAGAGATTCCTTAGACCCCTTACAAGAGGTTACTCAACTTTCCAAGAAACTTTCTTTGCAAGATGAGAAAATGCTGTTAAAGGCGGAACAAGCGGAGAGGACACAGATTGATACTGTTGACACTGACTCAGGGGAAAGTGATGATAAACTTTGGTCTGAAGATGAAGCAGACTTAGAAGAAGCAGCTGCCCAATATCATGACAATGATTGAGATTTACCCTTAGTTCACTCAAAAGGTCATGGTAAAAAGCTCCATTATGGCTCGATGAATAATTTGGCAAATAAATCTAAAATTAAGAAGTCTAAAGGCTTCCCTCCACCCCCACCTCCTTTGGGTTTCGGCTTTCAAAGAGCCCTACCTTGTGTCAGAAATATGTAAGTGCAGCCTTGCAGTCAATTAAGGATAAGTATTTAGAAGCTTATGTTATCCATATGGATGATATTCTTTTTTTTTTTTTTTGGATGATATTCTTTTAGCCCATAAAAACCGTGGTATATTGCAAGAAATTTTATAAGATACTATAATGGCTCTAGATCAACAGGAACTAAAAATATCGCCAGAAAAAATACAAACAGAACCCCTTTTTCTTATTTGGGGAGGAAAATATTGGAAGAGAAAATTACTCAACCTACATAATTAAGGCAGGATTCGTTAAAAACAAACGATTTTCAAAAATTATTAGGGGATGTTAATTGGATTTATCCTTTTTTAAAGCTAACCACTAATGATTTGAAATATTTATTTGCCATCTTCCAAGGGGACCCTAACCCTAAGTCACCTAGGGCATTGACTCAGGAAGGAAAATTGGCCATTGAAAAGGTGCAAAAAGCAATAATGAATGACCAAGTAACAAGATTAGACTATTTAAAACCTGGGACTTTGATTTTGCTACCTACTGTCCACTCCCCTATGGGATGTTTGTGGCAGAATGGACCCCAGGAATGGTGATATTTAGCTTCCAATTCTCCTAAAATGGGCACTCCTTATACTTCCTTGATAGCATTGCTTACCATAAAGGGAAGAAAAAGGAGTAGAGAGTTGTTTGGTATAGAAGTCCCAATATTATATCACCCTACAATGCTTATCAGCTTGGAAACCTTTTGCAATCTGATCCAGACTGGCAGGTTGCCCTTGCAGGACATACAGGAATCATAACATATCATTTACCTAACAACCCTTTGTTAACATTTTATAAAAGAACACCCTGTAATCTTCCCTCAAAAAAACCTCTAAGGAACCTTTTGACACTCCACTGGTCCCTTGTTTTTACTGATGGATCCTCTAATGGCACAGCTGCAGTTATAATTGAGGATCATAAGACTTCATTTTCTACTAATCAGAAGTCCGCTCAAAAGGCTGAACTTATGGCGGTAATATATGTATTTGAAACATTATCTAATACTTTGTTTAATCTTTATTCAGATTCACAGTATGTGATCAAATTGTTTCCATTTATAGAGACAGCATCCATTCCTCCCCAGAAAACCACTATATTTGATTTATTGACTAAATTACAAAATTTAATAAGCAAACGTAAATTACAATTTCTATAGGGCATGTTAGATCTCACAGTAACCTGCCAGGTCCTATACATGAAGGGACTAGGCAAGCAGATGCCTTAACACGACCCATGATTTTATCCAGAGAACAGGCCTCCAAGAGTCATGCTTTACATCATCAAAATGCTAACGCTTTGAGATTACAGTATCACATAACCAGAGTAGCCGCACGAGAAATTGTTAAAGTGTTCCGTGTACCCAGGCTCCAACCTTACCAACAGGCGTCAATCCTCCAGGATTGCATTTAAGGATGTAATGCAAAACTTGTTTTACTCTTTTGCCATTTTGGGACAGCCCAGAGAGATAAAAAACGGATAATACCTCTACTGCTTTTAAGAACTTTTGTTCCACTACTGGGACAAACATAATACAGGAATTCCATACAACCCTCAAGGACAGGCCATAGTAGAAAGAGCTCATCAAACACTGAAAACCCAAATCCAGCGTTTGCAGGAAGAACTTAAGTATCTCTCTCCACATATTTTACAGCATGCTTTGTTATGTCATTTAAATTGTAATTCAGCAGGACACACACCCATGTATCTACATTATCAGGGCCCTGACATTAAGCCTAAACCACTGGTAAAATGGAAAGATGTATTAACTGGGACCTGGAAAGGCCCAGGGGTCTTACTCACTCATGGGCGAGGATCTGCTTGCGTCTTCCCGGTGCTGACTCTCCTGTGTGGATCCCAGACCGATTCATGCGCCCCCATGACGGGCCTGCCGCCTCCTCCGCCTACAGCGGTGTCGCCTGCTACTTGGAAGCCGTAAGGGAAACAACTGAGTCCTCTCCTGATGGATTCCCACAGGCTCCGCGTCCAGCCCCTCCGCCTAACGCTTCAGTGAGGAGTCCCCTCACGGGGGGAGCCAGTCCCTCCTCGGTTTCTCCTGTCCACCGTCTGTCTCTTCAGCCAGGTCATGGAGAATCTGGGCCGGGGCCTATTTGTCACCGCCGTGCCCTCTCCACCCGCGCTGTCTTCCCCCGACCTGGGAACAACTGAAGAAGCTCAGCAACAAAGCACTTGACATTGCTGCTTCACACGGAATGGCTCCCACCCTGAGGTTGTTTTCACTGCTCTGCTAGCAGCTCTCACCTGCCGGGTATTAGGCTCAGGATTAGTCACAGCTGAAACCTATTGGTCTGACATACCAGAACCTCCTGTTTTGCACCCAGTCACCTGGGAAACACCCCAAGTGGCGGTTTTTACAAATGATTCCTTCCTCCTGGGGGGTCACCAAAGTGCCTTTATTAACCCTAAAAGTTCATATGATGTTACCTGCAGGGGTTATAGTTCCCTGCCTCCTATTTGCGGATCCCATCTTCACACACCACTTCCAGGGCCTTGTGTGTCACTGGGGATTAGAACTCTGGTGACAGATTCCCCTGTTACTAGAGCCAAGCAGAGACATCTTTGGATGTTAGCACTTATAATTCCCTCGTTTCCAGATTTTAAATTCATTACTACTTCTACTTTACCTCCTGATCAAATTCCTGTGTGTGACCCTTATCCAGAAGCTGATGATAGTTGGTTTGCTATCAATAGGAAAACAGGATTTCCAACATGGCATGATTGTGCCATTGTGGGAGCCACATCAGACAGAAAAGGAGTAAAGCATCCTTTAAATGGTACAGATTTGTATGTATATAATTATTCCATTACATCTCCCACTGACGCTTACCGCGATTTAGTCAAACTGAGTCCAAGATTTAATTGGTCTGATACTGATTTACCCACTCCTGAACCTTTGGCCAGATGGTTTACCCCAGGCTGGGTTTCTCCTATTTTGACCTTTTTCAGTCCCAATGGTTCAGTAGCTCAAACATCTTTTGTGGAGGCTCTTTACGGCTACCCAACCCGCTGGTCTAAAAAGACCCAAAAGAGAATACAGATACAGAGCCCTTCAAGCTTGCGTGCGCTCCCCTTTTGCTGTTCTATATCCTGGTGATTTGGGCACATTAGAAATATTTGAAAATAATGGGGTCCTTGTTACTCATTGTAAAAATTGTGTTTTAACCAGCTGTATTTATTCTCGTTTGAATATAACTTCTTTTGTCATTGTTCAACAACCCCCTTATGTTATGTTGCCTTTAAAACTGGATACCCCTTGGTATGATGATATGGGACTACATGCCTTACAGTTAATGTCAGATATTTTGCAAAGTAAAAGAAGATTTGTTGCCTCTTTAACTTTAGGTATTGTAGCATTATTTGCTATTATAGATTCCTTGACCGCCTCTACTGTAGCTTTGGTCCAAGAAGTACATACTGCTGAACATGTTAATGAATTTGCCAAAAGTGTTACCATGGCTTTAATGACACAAGCAAAAATTGATCAAAATCTTGACACACGAGTTAGTGCCTTAGAAGAGGCAGTAGGGACAGGGCGTGCGTGTGAGGTCATTGCGCGGGCGGGGCAGGGCAGTTTGAACGAGACGAAGACGGAACCGGAGCCGGGTACGGGCACTGGGCGAGGTTCAGTTGAGAGCTGAAGATGGCAGTGAATGTATACTCGACGTCAGTCACCGGCGATAACCTGAGTCGACATGACATGTTGGCTTGGATCAATGAGTCCCTGCAGTTGAATCTGACAAAGATGGAACAGTTGTGCTCAGGGGCTGCTTATTGTCAATTTATGGACATGCTGTTTCCGGGCTCCATTGCCTTGAAGAAAGTGAAATTCCAAGCTAAGCTAGAACACGAATACATTCAGAACTTCAAAATACTGCAGGCAGGTTTTAAAAGGATGGGTGTTGACAAAATCATTCCCGTGGACAAATTAGTAAAAGGGAAGTTTCAGGACAATTTTGAATTTGTTCAGTGGTTCAAGAAGTTTTTTGATGCAAACTACGATGGCAAAGACTATGACCCTGTAGCTGCCAGACAAGGTCAGGAGACGGCGGTGGCCCCTTCGCTTGTGGCTCCGGCTCTGAATAAACCGAAGAAACCTCTGAGCACTAGCAGTGCAGCCCCACAGAGGCCCATTGCAACACAGAGAACTGCTGCTCCTCCTAAGACTGGCCCGGGCGTGGCGAGGAAGAGCCCAGGTGTGGGCAACGGGGATGACGAGGCAGCCGAATTGATGCAGCAGGTCAACGTGTGCTGAAGCTCACCGTTGAAGATCTGGAGAAGGAGAGAGATTTCTACTTTGGGAAGCTGAGGAACATTGAGTTGATCTGCCAGGAGAACGAGGGGGAAAACGACCCCGTGCTGCAGAGGATTGTGGACATTCTCTACGCCACAGATGAAGGCTTTGTGATACCAGATGAAGGGGGCCCGCAGGAGCAAGAAGAGTATTAGCAGCCTGGACCAGCAGAGCACCATCCGAATTCTTCACCCAAATCATGTGCTTCACTGTAAAATACTCCCTTTTATGATCCTTAGAGGACTCCCTGGTTTCTTTTCCTAAGCAGAAAGCACCTCCTCTTCAAGTGCACTTTGCAGAAGCCTCACTCTTCTTTCCATGCGTTTGAGTTAGGAGCTTTCTACCTTGTAGCAGAGCAGTATTAACATCTAGGTGGCTCACCCAGAGAGCAGAGGTTCACCCCAGGGCTCACTGTGCGCTTGCTGGAGACGGTGTCAGCGGGGAAATACAGACTGAATTGAATTGTAAGCTAATGTGAAATCTTGGCAGAGAACATTTAATAAATAAATAATGCCTTAAGAGTAAAAAAAAAAAAAAAAAAAGAAGAGGAGTAGGATGGATGGGTGATCAGATTTGAGTTTTAAAAACTAGAACGATGATTAGATGTCACTCGCAGTTTCAATGGGTCTGTGCCACTCCTTTGATTTACAGTGAATCAGAAGTCCATGGGAAAGGTGAAGAATCATGTTTTGGGAGTATGGAACCATTCAGACATTTCTTTAGACTTAGCCTCTTTACACGCCAGTATAACAGCCATCAGTCACTCTGGAACCTCTGTACTACCAGCTTCAGAAATGGCCAAATCTTTGCTAGAAAAAATAACTGGATATGTTGCAGGAAAGTCCTGGTTCTCAATTTTTCTAATCTGGGAGCTGCAACTTTGATAATACTTCTTCTTGTTCTCTTTCTTCCAGTCATCTTCCGCAGTTTACGCTCGGTGCAGGCAGAAATCCAAAGGCTTCATTTGAAAAATAATAAAAAAGGGGGAGATGTTGGGAGCCATCCAGCCATGCTGTCTAGCAAAGCTACAGCCTGGTGGAAGAAGCTTCTGCAGAGCAGAGCTTCCCAGCGAGGGTTTCCAACATCCCTCAAATATTTGCTGTTGTCAAATCCATTCTTGAGAATTTTCTGCAGTGTCATGTTTACCGCACCTGGAGCGGATGCGAGGGCAGTCTTGAGAAGTACGAATGAAACCAAATCTAAAACTTGCTTCTATATGACAGGGCTTTCCTTAACTGAGGCATTGGAGAGGCTTAGACAGCGAGACATCTTTGGGAATTCTGAGGGGGATACGTGGGAATTGAGTGAGGAAGAAACCCCAAAGTTGAGGTCAGAGGAGAAAATGAAACCCACCGAAAAGCCCTGGATTCCATTCAGATTAGGTAGTGGGGGACTCTTTTGGCCTCCCCATATAGAGAACGTTACAGAGTGCCTCCCCCAACTGATGCCCCTTTACCTTGGACAGGGGCTTACATAGAAGGAGAGAGAATGGTTAACATTAATAGAAAACAGGTAAAAGGGGAAACATTACATCTTTGGCAAAGAATCAGACGGTTTGGCTCCCCATGGTGCCTCAGGAGTATAAAAAATAAAAAGACATAGGTAGACAATGGAACAGCTACCATGGGAGAGTTTGTAAAGGAAAATGTTTAACTCTGAGAAGCATTGAACTCTGCTTGTAGATATTAGGCTTTGAAGTAGCACATGGGGTAGTTTCATTGTGTTAAGTTAGTCAACAAGAAATGACATTCTCTGATGTCATTTAAATTGATCGAAATTCAACTAAATAGATTTATTTATTGATTTTAATCACCTACACAGTAATCAAGACTGTTTGGCACAGTCAAAACAGGGATTTCTACGGGGGTCTGCTGGGCCCCTTACATGCAAGGCTGAGCGATCAGCTCAGAAGGTTCTGGCAACGTTTTTTTTTTTTTGGCTTCCCAGGGGGATAATTTTGGTACATTTTCTCAGAGGACATGGGATGCTCATGGAGGCTTATTATGAAGAAGTTTTACGAAAATGGGAAACTGCATCAGTGAGAAAAGGGCCGAGAAAGTTCCACTGAGGCATCTTTTTTTCCGTTATGACAATTTATCTGCTCATTCTCTGGTCCTCTAAGAATTTCTTTGGGAGGCCTCACCCCATCCACTCTTTTTTTTTTTATAGCTTTTTATTTTATCACTACAAAATCTTTATTGATGTAACAGAAATGTTCTGATACAGTAGACTGTTAGGATGAACTGGATGAACAGCAACATCATAAATATTTATAAAGATTTGCCCTGCCACGCCCTCATGTCAGTCAAATTGTTTGGTTTCTTTGCCTTTGTGGTGATCTCTAGAGTGCAACAAACCAGATGGATTCTATCGGGCTGTGGTTAACTAACAGCAGAATCTGAGGCCAGCATGGGCATCCGTTAAATAAAGGGGCAACAGATGCAAAAACATCACTAGTAAAACAAAGCAGAGGTATTGCCTGTTCTTTTAAATCAGCAGTTTTATTACAGTGTACACTGACAGACAATTAGAGAAGGAATGTCCTGACATTTTTCTGAGCATTTCATGGAAAGCAAAAGTAACTATCCATCCAGGCAGGAGACACCCACACCTTGTCCCAACGCAAATCAACGATGTTGAAATGTGGGAATTCAAAAATGTTATGTTTTCTTATTCTTACCTATGAAATTTCTATCTCAGAAAATAGTTACTGTCAAGTGAATGGGATTTCCACAACATTTCATTATGCTCATATGAAACCTGTACATGACCAAGGGTCAGTCTTTCAAACAGAATAAAATCAGGAAGGATGTGTGTGTTAGACAGAGTTCTCTAGAAAAACAAAACTAAGACACTTATTTTATTTATATATATATGTGTGTGTGTGTGTGTGTGTGTGTGTGTGTTTAGTCCACAGAGCAGTACAGAGAGTTCAGTTCAACTCACTTCCATGAGACAATTAACATACTAGCAGTCCCTCAACTCACGAGGGCTGCTGGGTGCAAGTCAAGGAAGCAGACAGCTGAGTCTTCTGTAGAGAAATACAGGCAATCTGGCCACAGGCAGCAAACAGCAGAGCAGGTCACCAACAGTCAGCCAGATGACAGGGTCCAACAGTCCCCAGATCAAGTGATGTATAAATCAGCAGTGTGGCAAATCAGGTCTTGAAGGAACCTCAAACTATAGCGACACGGTCCATGGGTTGTGTGTCCCACGGGTAGTGTAACTTGCAAGTTGAGGCAGAGAACTAGCTAAGGCAGCCACACACTGGTCGGGTCATCAGAGAGCAAGAGACAGAAAGGCAAGGCTCATTGAGCCATTTAGCTCTTTGCCCTTCAATTGAACTGCAACCTTATTAATCCCACATGTGTTTATTGACCAGGTTGGCACAATAAACCTACCTATCACAGTGTGCATCAGGGTTTTATCCTTTCACTGTACGTATTCAACCTGTAGGTTGAGCAAAAATATTTGAGAAGATGGACTCTATGTAGAAGTTGACCAAGCCTGATGTCCTTTTCCAAGGACTGGTCTCTCCTGATTATATGTCCAAAGCATGTGAGACCAATCCACGTCATTCTCAAGAACAATGAGGCATCAGGACAAGAAAAAGGCTTATTAACAGCCTGTGCTGTGCAGATGACACAACTTTGCTTGTTGAAAGTGAGGATGACCTGAAGCACTGGCTGTTAAAGATGAAGAACTGCAGCCTTCAGTATGGACTGCAACTCGAAGCACAGAAAACAAAAGTCCTCACAACTGGGCCGTGATAAACAGAGAAAAGATGGAAGTTGTTAAGGATTTCACTGTACCTGAACCCACAATCAATGCTCATGGAAGCAGCATTCAATAAATCAAGCAATGCATAGAGCCAATCTGTTCGCCCAGATTTGTTTAAGGTGTTAAAGAGCAAAGATGTCACTTTGAAGCCTAAGATGAGCTTGCCCCAAGCCATGATCTTTTTTCAATTGCCTCATATGCATAAGAAAATTGGACAATGAATAAGGGAGAACGAAGAAGTGATGCATTGGAGTTATGATGTTGGAAAAGAATTTTAAATCTACCATAGACGAACAAACAAATCTCTGTACAGCCAGAATGCTCCTTAGACTCTCGAATACTGAGACTTCCTCTCACATACTTTGGACATCTTAACAGGGAAGACCAGTCCTTGGAAAAGGACATCATGCTTGGGTCAGTGAAAAAGAGGAAAACCCTGAAAGAGATGTAATGACACAGTGGCTGTAACAATGAATGAGATGGATTGACACAGTGGCTGTAACAATGAATGAGATGGAGTGACGCAGTGGCTGTAACAATGAATGAGATGGATTGACACAGTGGCTGTAACGACGAATGAGATGGAATGACACAGTGGCTGTAACGACGGATGAGATGGAATGACACAGTGGCTGTAACGACGGATGAGATGGATTGACGCAGTGGCTGTAACGACGGATGAGATGGAGTGACGCAGTGGCTGTAACGACGGATGAGATGGAGTGACGCAGTGGCTGTAACGACGGATGA